CTCAGCCTCCCAAGTGCTGGGATGACAGATGTGTGCTACTATACTCAGGTATTTTATGGGTCTTTACAACTTCTATACAACCAGACTGGGATAAAGCTAAAAGTAAGATAATGAGACAGCCATATTTAAAAACAACATCCTTTTGAAAAGTTTATAGATAGTACTATTAATAAACCATTTATCACTCTTTATGAAGCTTGTGTTTTACAGATTAAATTTATTTCAAAAGTACTTATAAACAAGTGAAACACAACTAAAGCATTTGTACTGAATTTGTCAAATAAATCATTTTAATATGCACCTTTTTAATAGGATGACAGTAGCATTACTATAGTAGTATTTGTTTTGTTTTTATTAAAATCAGTAATTTTCAAGATTGATTTTTAGTGAGAACTCCTGAATTTTAAAATACTTGGGCCCAGCCAGACATGGTGGTGTTCACCTTCTAATCCCAATACTTGGCAGGCCGAGGCAGCTTGAGTTTGAGGCCAGCCTCAGCTACTACATAGTGGGTTCAAGGCCATTCTGAACTATACAGAAAGACCCTGTCTCAAAACACCAAACCAAACAAACATAAAAATTCAGGACCAGAAGTACTTTGGAATATGTACATATACAGAATGGGATATTTTTTGGATGGAACCTCAGCCTAAGCATGAAATTCATTTATGTATGTTTCATAAATACCTTGTATACATAAACTGAAGGCAAAAATACAGTATTTTGCACGATGCTGTATACGAATCACAGCTGCATGGTGTGCAGTTTTCCACTGGAGTCATCACATTGGTACTCAGAGTTTTGGATTTCAGAGCATTTTAGGTTTCCGAATTAGAGACGTTAAGCCGGATGTGGTGGCGCATGCCTGTCATCCCAGCACTCTAGAGTCTGAGGTAGAAGGGTTTTGCAAGTTTAAGGCCAGCCTGAGCTACATAGTGAAATCAAGGCCAGCCCAGAAAGGGAGACACTGTCTTTAAAAAAAAAAAAGAATTAGAGATATTAAGTCTGTACCACGCCAAAGCAAGGTATAACTATGATTTGGGGGGCAGGGTACTGAGAACTGAATCCCAGACCTTCACAATGAGCTACATCATTGATGTAAATTTTTAATTTTTATTTTGAGACAGGGTCTGGTTAAATTGCTAAATTCCCCAGGCTGGGCTTCAACTTGTAGTCCTTGTGCCCCAGAGCACTGGGACTATAAGTGTGTGTCACTGTACTTAGCTCAAAACATGATACTTTTTTTTTTGATTAGTTGTATTTTGACGCTCCGTGGTTATAGGTGATAACTCCCCCCACCCCCGTTTTAGATGGGATGGGATGAGGACTCAGAGGCAGCTAGAAGTGTGGCTGGATGCAAGGCTTGGTACTGTTTTGGGATTTATACACTGTTACTTATGTCAATCTGTGCCACCTGTAAAACATGACACTTTTTAAATTATTTTTTATTTTCTACGCACTCTTTTATGGTAAAAAATTTTTTGATATTAAATGTTCCTATAAGCAAATAATTTGGACTGCAGATGGTTTTTATTTTCCTGACATCTACATTCTGCAGCTGTGATCACTGAGTTCTTTCTCCTCGCCGAAGCGTGTGCTCTTCCTTTATCGTCGGGCGCTGTGAATCCTCTGACGTTGTGCGGCCCCTGCCCTGGGTTTCCGTTTGTTCTGTGCTTCAACCTTGGCTGTGGACTGTGGACAGTGGGGTCTTCCCTCCGTCTTCACTTTCTGCTGCGTCCTCAGTCTCTTCTGGTTCTGTAATTTTCTTTCTCTTCTTTTTTTCTTTCTTCTTTGGAGGCTCACGTTCTCCAGGCCTGTTTTTCAGACACGCGTAATTCAAGTGTCGGCTTTCCCCACATTCGCGACACTGCGATTTATCAAGGTACTTGGGCCTTCGATGAATTCAGCGGCTCCCCCGCTGTCAGTAGCCGTGCCTGCCTTCATCACTCTGACAAACAACTGTTCGCTGTTGATGGCTCTGGTGCAGTTTTGTGCAGAGTCTTTATCCAAGAACAACACAGATGCAGCCCCTTTGCTCTTCCTCGTATCTGTGTCTCTCGTTATAGTAACCTTCGCAGCTCCGCCATACTTGGAAAATATCCGGTATGCGTCGTTGCTTGTCGGGGAGAAGGGCAAGTTGGACATACACGGTGCTCTTACTTGGAGCCAAGCCACCGCATCTCTTCAGGACGGCGGCCCAGCGCGGCCGGGATCCAACCCCGACTCTTCTCGCCCTTCGGCGGGGCCGGCCGCACCTTTGAAAGGAAGGGGGCTCAAAGCAGGGCCGGGCTTCTACCGTGAGGACGCGGCGGGGCATCGCCTGGGCAAGTTGTTCACAGCAGACGCGGAGCGAGCAGACGGGTGCGTTAATCCACCTCGAGCTCCCAACAGAAGGACCACAGATGTGTACAAAGATTTTATCTTGAATACCTCATGATTTAAAGTAGAAAAAAACAAAAAACAATCAAAATGCCCAACATTTTGAAGATTCGCTAAACTACAACACGTCCATGTTCGGGGTTACGGTCCAGCCGTGTGTCCCGATAAGGTGGGTGCGGCGTAATTCCAGTCGTGGGGCGTGAGGAGAGGGAGCTGAAGGCGTCTCAGCGGCCGGGCAGCTTGGCGAGTCCCCTTCTCGGAGGTAGAAAGGGCTGGGGTAGCTCCCTGAGAGGGCGCTGGGTCCAGTCCCCGACATGCGGGAGAACAGGCCCAGGGGAAGGACACAAGGAAGCAAGAGAGGCGCCCAGCGTGAGCCCAGAGGGGACAGGGACGGCTCGCGGACGAGGGCAGCGAGCAGCCGAGCCTAAGCAAGGCTGGTGGCGCTAGGGGTCGCCCGTCACGTACAGGCGGAAGGCGTGGGCGCGCGAGTGCGTGCATGGTGTGCGCGTGTGTGTGCGCGGGTGTGCGCACGCCCCTGCACAGAGATCTGGGGAACTTTTGCCATGAACAAGTCAGGGTATATCTAATCTTTAATTTTCTTCTTCGCACTTTTTTGTATTTTCCAAATTTTCTAAAATCTAAGAACGCGAGTCTCCTACTTGGGAAAGCTGTTTCTGGACTCGCTTTCACAAGGCGGGGAAGGCAGCGCTGTTCCGCGGGGATTTCCGCCCGAGGCAGACATACTGGGCCGCCTGTGGGCCCCTTTCACCGCCAGGCGGCGCCAGGAGACAAGGTGAGGCCGAGAGCCTCCACGCTGCCTGCTGGAAGTCTCACCTTGTCTTAGGAACGGGATCCGGGACTCCACCAAGACTAGAGTCTGCTGCGGACATCCAGAGTGCTCAGGTGTCCGTGGTGTTCTGCAGGAAAGCCTGTGTTCAGCATTGCCCTGTAGGAACAGAAGGCGGAGCGCGCGCACACACACACACACACACACACACACACACACACACGAGGTTGTTCAAATCCTAGGTCTGTGGCTCAGGAGCCCTGTGACCTCTGGCAGGTTACTGTACCTCTCTGAGCCTCAGTGTCCCTGATTTTAAAATGGAAGTCCCCCAAATTAAACTCCTGATAAACCAGGGCCCACCAGAAGGCAGCTTCAGCCACAGCTTTTTTCTTTGGCCAAAGTTCTGGGGACTCTTGGACTACATTCGGTAGATCCCTGGGTTAGAGTGGCAAAGACTGTACCCAGTGAGTCAGCCATACCCTGACCCCCAGGAAAGGGAGGCAGGTCTTGGAGAGGCTTGAGGAGAGTGCTCTGCACAGACTTCCCTCCAGGAGGGCTACTAAATGTTTAGTTTGCTACTTCAAGTTGGGCCATGGTGAATGTATAGAATGCCAGCTACTCAGGAGACTGAGGCAGGAGGACCTCAATTTCAAGACCAGCCTGGGCAATTTTTCTGAAACCCTGTCTCAATAACTACAAAAGGCTAAGGCTGTCACTTAATAGTAGGGTGCCTACCTAGCATGCCCAAGACCCTGAGTCCATTCTCCAGTACCCCCCCACAACAACAACAACAAAACAAGAAGAAAAACTTCTGAATTGGCATTTTGGGCAGTTTGGGATTTCTAATGCAATGGGATTCAACCCCTTACTTTTGTGGGGAAAAAAATAGACCCAGTTTGGTCTACGTCAGGGGGTCCAGGCCAAAACATGGCAGAACTGGGTCTCTTGCTGGGGAAGAGGCTGTAGACCAGCCAACATGTGATGTTGTGTGATGCTCATCCTGTCCCCCAGGCCACGCAGGTTGCTGTTCCAGGTACTTTCTTTGCCTCTTCCCAGGGCCCTCTGTCTGTATGTTTCACAGTACTCAGTGACAGCCTCTGAGGGGCCACTACCCCAGCCTGGCAATACCAGCTTACCATTCCCTGTGGGCTCACAACACCACCAGGATACCATCAAGTCCAAGAGAGCATCTTGAAAAGAATCAGTGGGGTTAGCTGTAGGCCTGAAAAAGGAAAACAAATCAAAGAGAAGTGAGGCCAATGAGAAAGACTGGGAGATGTGGGTGTAAAAGGGAGGCAATGACTTCATGGAAAAGAATGGGCTTCTCTCAGTTGAGCAGATGTCTGTCCTCCTGATGCCTCTGCCTCTGGCATGGTATTTACAATGAAGAGAGTACATCAAAGTGAACTCTGGGGAAACACTGTTTCCAAGTTGACATTTCATATGTGACAGATGCAAAGAATCACAAGGCAGAGGGACGTCAGGAGGTCAGCCATGAATCACCCTAGAACATAACTATAATTCAGTTTAAAAAATAAAACACCATCTGGGCATGGTGGTATTCCAATTCCAGCTACCTGGGAGCTGAGGCAGGAGTATCACAAATTTGAGGGCAGCCTGGGCAACTTAGCAAGATTCTGTATCAAAATAAATAAAAGGCAGCTGAGACACAGCTTAGTGCTACAGCACCCCTGGGTTCCACTCCTCATACCCCAAAAGCAAAACCTGTGAATCTACCTAGCCATACGGCCTGCAGGCTGCTGCTGGGAGCGACTCTGAAGCTCTGGAGAGAAGGGGTCCTTTGTCCGAAAAGTGTGTCCTGCAGCTGGGCAGCATGGGGACAGGGCACAGAACACTGTGTGCGACAGACCCCAAGATCCGGAGAAACAGAGGCCTTTCCCAGGCCACAGTCAGTGAGAGCGGCCGGCCGCAGTCTCTCTGCTCTGGGCACTCTGTCTGGCTCAACGCCGTGGAGAGTGGCTCCCTTTACCTCCCGACCCCAGGTAACTAAATGGCAGTGCTTCCGTTGGCTCTGAGATTATATCCCAAGATCTGTCTGTTCCCATCATCTCTGACTTCATTGAATATTTCCTGTGAGACTCTGCCAAAGACCTGCTTTTTCAGTTACTTTGATTTTCTTCTAAGAAAAGCAAAATTTATGGAAATCAAACTGGTTTTGACACAAAAGTCATAACAAAGATTTCCACTCCGGAGTGAACGTAAATCACCAGTTCTGACATCCTGCCTTTGACTGGAATGGCAGCATCTGTGAGGGAAGCCTACAGGTGCAGCCCCCAAACACCAGCCTGCAGTTCTCACCCAGGTTGGGAGGCCACGGGGGTGGGCTCAGACCCACAGAGCTGAAACCGGCACCTCGGGAATTTTCACTTCTGCTGAGCTGACTCAATAGCACTCAGTTTTAGAGTTCCTTTGGTCCAGGTGTTCGTGACAAAATTAAGAGGATGAGCTCAAGGTTTCAGTTAATCCCTGCCAGGGGCATCAACGTGGTGAGCTGGGGGCCAGAAGGTACAGGAGGGAGCCCTCTGTCCCAGGCGGGAGCAGGGCCAGGTGATGACGCTTGGCAAAGCACTGGGCCGCGTAGGGCTGGGTCTTGGCTGAGTGAGTTCTGCGAGCCCTTCGTGGCCATGTCTGCAGAGGGGATGAAGAGTAGACTGCTCACCTCACAGCGTCCTGGAAGCAGAGACCAAGAGCAGAGGAGAGGAAGATTTTGTTTTTTAGCATTTTCCCCCCAATATTTGGGAGTAAACCCAGGGGTTTCTCATTGAGCCACATCTCCCACTCTTTCTTTTTCACTGTTTCAGACAGGGTCTTGCTAAATTGCCCAGCCTGGACTCAAACTTAAGATCCTCCTGCCTCAGCCTCCAAGAGTGCTGGGATTACAGACATGTACCACCAAACTCAGTCCAAGGTCCTTTTTAAGAAGAAACATTTTAAAAGCTTTCCTCTTCCTCCCTTAGCCTTCCCTGTTTTCCTCTTTCCATTGCCTCATTGCACCTTATTCCCAAATAGCTGAGATGTTGCTTTGGACCAGAAACATTGCCATGAGGGCACCTCATTTTTCTGGCTGCTGCCCCACAGAGGAGCACTGTGATTATTGTCCACAGGCAGTCTTGGCGGGGTTGAAAAAGTACCCAGAGTCACTTTCCAGGGAGAACTTACCTCATCTACCTGCTGTCATCCAGAGTGCTCTGCCTTATAGAGGCAGAAATAGCTGTCTTCTTTGAAAATGAGGCCAAGGTTAGGGCAGTGGGTCATTAGTGAGCTGTATTCAAGGAGCATCTGTAGAGGCCCTGCTGGGGCCTGTGGTTGCTGGGCACTGGCTTATGTGGTGATGGAAAGTTCTGTCCTGGGCGGTAGAGAACAGACAGTTGTTATGGATTTGTGTGTGCTGGGTACCCATGTAGGCCCTCAAAATCTTGTCAAAGTGGGGTAGTGCTATGGCTTGGTTCTGGGGTGTCCCCAAAGAGCTACATGTGGAACCTTTGGGAGGTGGGGGCAGAAGTTGGATCACTAGAACCCTGCTCCTTCCTGTCACTCTCTTTACTTCCCAGCCACTGAGAGCTGAGTGGCTGTCTCTGCCTTGCCTGTTGCCACGATGTTCTGCCCTGCCACAGGCCCAGAGCCGTGGAGCTGACTGGCTGGAACCAGGACCCAAATAACCCTTTCTTTCTCTTCAGTCAGTCATATCTTGTGTCTGTCACAGTCACGGAAAGCTGACCGGCACAGGAAGGTAGCATCAGCTTGGCAATTGAAGAGGTTGCAGCCTAGAGTGATCTAACTTGACCAAATGTCTTATAAATCCATTCACTTCTGCAGCCATGAATTGTGCAAAGGCTTTCAGAGCTTTGATTATATGCAGAGCACCCCAAACAGAGTGTGAGGCAAGCAAGCCATGGCCTGCCCTCACAGCACCCCTAGGTTTAGGGGCAGTGAATAGGCAGCTGGAGTTCTGTGGGTGCTGGGTCAGGCAGGTGCATTCACAGGGAGGGACTGGTCCACAGGCCAGGACCAAGTCCAGTCGGCCGGCTCCAAAGCCCACACTGTCTGTGTTGCTGCTTGGTGCTACTCTCCCGGGGTAGAAGTCCTGCTCCTAACATCCTTTTCTCTCCTGTCCTCTGCAAACTTCTATTTATCCCACAAAACCAGCTTAAATACTAACTCTCCAGTAAGCATATTTCCTTACTTGAGCAGAAGGTCCAAATCGTGCCCTCCTCTGTGTTCATACATTGATAAGTCCTCCAACTCTGCCTTTATAGCTTTATTTTATTGCTTGTCATGATATATGGAAACTATACATGCATACATGCCTTGTTTCTGGACTCTAGAGGCTCAGTTCTCTGTGCCATGCTGAGCTGGTGCAGCACCCTGCCCCACCCAGTCCTGCTGTCCACACACTCTGCAGAGGCCCTAGGCTCCCAGGAAGCAGAGAAGCCCAGCAGCGTAAGACACCGAGGCTCTCACCTTTATCTTAGGCCCTAACTGTTTAACTTGGTTGTGGCTAGAGTTTGCAAGGGAAATAGATTTAATATAGGATGCATAATTTATAGAATTATTTTATCATAGTCACCCAAAAAGTCAAATGCAGAGGAGTGCAAGAGATCTCACCGTACACTACAGACCCAACCAAGAATCCAGCCAAGGGCCTGGATCCCACAGCAGTGTCCCCCACAAGTCCAGCTGAAGCCTTAGAGTCCAAGGCAGTGTCCTCCATGAGCCCTAGTGCCCTAGACTCCATTAATCCAGTGTTCCAGAGCCTACGGCAACGTCTCATGCTTGTCCGTATCGAGGATCTGTAACCGGAAGGCCCAAAGGCAAGTGGTGGAAGGCAGAAAACCTGCACTGATACTAGGCTGAAGGCTCTACATTGGAGCCAGGAAGTGATGCTCACGGTGAAGATCAGACCACCCCTGATGAGAACAGCAGCCATTCCAGCAACAGCAAAGCCCCGAGCTCCTCCTCCAAGGAGAACAGCCAAGTTTGCATCAGGAAAACCGAATAAAGCAAGCTTGTTGTAGAAAATCAGCAGCCCCGGATCTTCCCCTTCAGTTCTCTTTTTATGCTATTGGCAACAATCCTCAGGTGGGTCTTCCATGCTCAACCACACTGTTCAGTTCAGCTCGGCATTTCGGCAGGCTCATCACAGTACGGGGGAGTCTCAAGTCGGTGTAAGTGATGAAAGGGGAGGGAGGAACTTAGGGAAGAAGGAACTCCCACGGTGCCCCTGAGCAGGGCCCCAGAAGACCAGAGCCACCTAGCCAAGAGGCGGGCAGCCAGCAGGGCAGACTTCAGAGTGCTCGGCAGTAAGAGGCGGCGGGTGTAACCCCATGGCAGAGCATCTGTCTCACGTGTGCAAGTCCTGAGATCCCATCCCCGGCACCCCGAAAGAGAAAAATGGGGTTACTTGCCTTGCACAGAAGGTCCAGATACAAGACAATGCCCCCTGATGTTAGGTTGTTCTCCAGGAAGACCCAGGAAAACTAAGATTTCCACTTACGACAGAGGGAATCTGCCTTTTTAGATGTTAAATAAAACCTTACATCCTTCACATACTGTGAAGGGACAATGAAAACAATGAATTAAAGTGGAATTGTGGACCCAGATCTAGATTGTTCTACCCTTAAAATATCCTAGGCCTATTATATGACCTCTGTTATCAGTCTGTTAGGGTAAAACAATCAGACTACCAGGCCCAGTGGTGTATGCCTATAGTCCCAACTGCTCAGGAGACTGAGGCAGAAGTTCAAAGCCAGCCAGCAGCATGGGCTCAGAAAGCCACACACACACACACACACACACACACACACACAAATAAATTAATAAACATCAGACCAAAGAAAGTGGGGGGGGCGGAGTGGGTGACGCAGTTTATAAACATTCAGGACACGGACTTAGCTCAGTGGTTCCGCTGCCTTGCCTCGTAAGTGCAAGGTTGCAAGGTCCCAATATCGATCCCAAGTACAAAAAAAAGAGTTTATAAACATTCAGATTAGGTCTGGTAATGCTTGTCAGTGGTAGAGCACTAGCCTAGTGTCCGAGTTCCATCCCACGTGCCGCCCCCAAATCCGGAAGTTGGAAATCTGAAATCAGGTAGAGACTTAATGACCTTTACCACTTACCCCAATTTAACACAGTGCTATATAAATTAAACGTGTTGCTCCTAAAGTGAATTCGAAGCTTCCTACCAAATTGTGTAAATCTGTATAAAACAGGCTTTCTGTGGTTGTCCTCGCCATCCAAAATGTGCTTTAGATTTATTTAGAAATCTAAAAACCTATTATTTAGAAATAGGATTTTCAGGGCCACGGATTTAGCTCAGTGGTTCTGCCGCCGGCCTTGCAAGTGCAAGGTCCCGAGTTGATCCCTGGTACCAAAAAAGAAAAATAAATAAATAAAAACGAAAAAGAAACAGGCCTTTCGCATGCCCTAGTATGGTCCTCGTAAAACAGCCCCAGCTCCATACCGTTCCCTGTATGCATCGCTGGCGCGCGGTTTCCCGCCCGCCTGAGAGCAGGTGCGCCGCTCTCACAACCCGAGGCAGAGCTGGTCGGCAGCGTCTTCCGCCTCTCGCCTTCGCAGTCTCAAGAGGCTCGGCGGCGTTAGTTTCTGGCCTCTTCCACCGCGTACGGCCGACAAGACTCATGACTTCCCTGAGCGCAGTTAGCGTGAGGACGGATCTCAGCGCCCTCGGATTAGCGAGGTCGGAAGCGCAGGTGATTACCGGTCGCCTTTGATACCGGCGTCCCGGCCCGGCCCTTTGAACTGACTTTGATATGCGGTAATTAGGGGGGATTCGGCCCCGGAGGCGTGGGGTGGCCCTGCCTCTGCTCCACCGGGCCCTTGTTTTGAACTATTGATCAAACGGGCCTGGAGGATTTGTCGGGGCCTGCGCGCCGGGAGGAAGGGAACCGGGCGGGGGCGCGGCCGCCCGGATATAACAGTCG